GCCCTGGAGACTACATCTGCCGGAAGGGGGACATTGGAAAGGCGATGTACATCATCAAGGAGGGAAAACTGGCTGTGGTGGCAGATGATGGCGTGACTCAGTATGCCTTGCTGGCAGCAGGCTGCTGCTTTGGAGAGATCAGCATCCTCAACATCAAAGGGAACAAGATGGGGAACAGGCGGACGGCCAATATCCGGAGCATCGGCTACTCAGACCTCTTTTGCCTGTCAAAGGAGGACCTCATGGAAACACTAATTGACTATCCAGAGGCCAAAAAACTCCTAGAGGAACGGGGCCGAGAGTTCCTAATTAATGAGGGATTGCTGGATGAAGAAATAGCAGCAGAAAGCACAGAGGACATGGATGTGGGCCAGAAGCTGGACTGGATAAGTAGCAACCTGGAGACTTTCAATACGCATTTCTCCCTTTTTTTGGAAGAGTATCATGCTGATCAGACAAGGCTCCAGCAGTGTTTCTCCTTCTTGGAGACCCAGAAGAAGTAGGAAGTAGGAAAAAAGGAACAGAAGCAGGAGCTTTTGTCTGGTGGCTCCAGTCCCCCAGGGTGAAAGACAAAAACCAAACCCCAAGACAGGCTTCTGGTTCCAGCTGGTTGTAGTGGAAGCCTTTCTCCCTTGCTGCCTCCCTTTGTTTTGTTTTGGTTTGGTTTGGTTTTTAAATCTAACTTTTAAAAATCATTTTAACATGGATAGGCTTTTAATTGGGGTTGTTGACTTTTTTTCTTTGCTTTTTTTATTTTCAGTTTTTGATCTAGCACCTTTTAAAGAAGAGATCTGTGGATAACAGAAGCCAGAGACCTTACTCTCTGGACTGTATTAAATTGGCTTTTCCTGGCTACCTCATGAGTCAAACTATGTGGGTGCTATCTGGGTCTATGGAGATAAAGGCCAAAATATCTTAGGCAGTGGTTCTTAACCTTTGTTACTCGGATGTTTTTGAACTGCAACTCCCAGAAACCCCAGCCAGCACAGTTGGTGGTGAAGGCTTCTGGGAGTTGCAGTCCAAAACTCCTGAGTAACCCAAGGTTAAGAACCAGTGATCTAAGGAACACAAAATATTCTTGGCCTTGTAAAGGAAGAAGAAAGGTGATTAGTGAACCTTGCTGAACTAACAGTGAGGAGGTTCTTCTCGGAGAACCATCTCTTAAGATCATGAAGAAAAGGAACCCAAAATACAATAGGATACTAGAAAAGAAAAAGGGGGGAAAGAAGCCATACTACAAGAGAGATCTTGATACCAGTTGACTGGCAACTCCTGTGATACAAGACTGTTCAAGTCACAATTGTAACTAGAAGTCAGAAAATAATTTTGGCCAAGAAAACAGCAGACCAGAGCAAACTAATGGATTATGTTATATCAATGAAAAAGAAAAATGTAACGTGTAACTGTAGCAGAAATGAATGCTTTACTACCTCAGGGCCTTGGCAATGTCCCGATGAAGGAATACTGTATATGCTTAATCTGATCTGCATGCTCTGATCTGCATGCTCTGAAGGACATATCATCATTTCATCTGATACATCTCTCAATTCAGGAGGATAATGGATTGCCCAATTGTTCAGATTTGGAGCTTCTTAGCTCACCATGTGTACTGCAAGGACTCTTGATGCAAAAGTTTTTTGAGGAATTATCAATCCTAAAACTATGTCTTTAAAATCTGATGTATACAATGATCTAGACAATATAGGATGCTTGAATAATCAAACTTCAGGGCAAACTATATCCAGAAGGTTTTCAGTGACAATCCAGAAAAGACACACAAAAACACAAATGTGAGAGTGAAAACCAATGTCTTCCTTCTCTAGATTCAACCATCTCTTAAACAAAACAAAACAAAACAGACTTTTAGATTCAACAAGAACTCATTTTACACCCTATAGAAAATCTGGGGAACCCAATGTCATAATGGTCTTAATAACTATAGGAAAAAAATGTCCAAAGCCTACAAATAAAAAGGGTAAAGAATAAACAGAATATATGAATGTAAAGATGCAAAATGGGAGATTTCTACAGATTCTTTGAACACTTCAAAAAGAAGGGTAAAGGACTCCACATGAAGCGAGCAGAGGTGGGCTCTCTCATCGGAACTGATATAGAAAGGGTGGTAATTTATATGATTATAATAATGTCAAAGCAATAATAAAATGTAAAATAACAGGTAGCAAATGTTATCCTTAGAACCAACTTTCTTTGCAATAGAGGTGCTACTTCTAACAATGGCATCCAATTCCTCTCTATCCTTAGAACCAACTTTCTTTGCAATAGCAATGGCATCCAATTCCTCTTGTACCTTTCCTAAATTATCAATTGTTTGAACATGATAGTGCAAAAGAAACTGTTAAATGTTTCGAATGATAAATATATGTGCGCTATCTGTTCACCTTATTGTTCCATTGTTTTTTTATCTCACAGTGGGGCTATTTATTTACAGTTACAACATATCTATTTGAAATAACAGCAACTGCATTAATTATAAACATTCTGCTAATATGAAGGGTGCAATTTATGGCAACAGGGTTCCAAGGGGTATGCAAGTGAGAAAAGGCTGGGAACCACTGGTCTAGAATTCAGGAGACCTGGGTTTATACCCTTGCTTGGCCATGGAAGCTCGGGGGGGGGGCATTTTTGGAGCCAGTAAAGCAACTTCTTAATTGTTTCACTTCCTTTGAAAGGCCTGTCACTATAAGTTGGCTCCGTAGCACAAAATACGTAACAAAATACAGTCAGTGAAGGCTCATATCAAGGAATCCTTAATCAGTTCAGACTGAACTACTATATAAGCTGGCATTGAACAAACTGTGGTTCATTAACTTCATATCGAAGAACTGAAAATACTGACAAGAGCAATGTAGTTAAGTGGGTATTTCATTAAAATGTAAAAGTGGGCAAATGAGAAAGGGACCATCTACTTTTCTCCCTGCTGCCTTCCCTAGGAGAAGAGCCAGCCTATGTAGACTTGGGCAAGCAACATATTCCCAGGGAACTACCAGAAGAAGGGAATGGTAAACCATATGAATATTCCGTACCAAGTAAACCATGGAAAATATTTCCATAAATTGAAATTGACTTGACGGCACATAATAATTATTATTTGCCATAAGCACCAGCACAGTGAAATCCACAAGCACCAGCAAAACTTCAACAAAAAAGAGGAAAGTGTGAAGCTCAACAAAACTTGGCTCCCAGCTCTCAAAAATACAGCATGCAAAAGGTCAACGAATTCTACCCAGCCATACGGACAGGGGATCACTACACACAAAAGACAGCTAATGACACCCATCAACCACAGGAACAGATAATCTCTTCTCAGCACAACAATACACCCACAACAATACACACTAATCACCCATCTACAGAAAAAGACAAAAGCCTATCTCACAGCCATAAATACTGCACTCCCAAAGCCAACTACATCAAAGCACAGAGTGCTGTCCTCTGAAGATGCTGGCCACAGAGACTGGCGAAACATTAGGAAGAACAACCTGCAGAACACGGCCAAAGAGCCCAAAAAACCCACAACAACCATTAGATCCCAGCCATGAAAGCCTTCATGAATATATTATTAGCCATGTTAGCTTAACAAAAAAGGGGCAAAAAAACAATAAACGAGTACAGAAAGTATTGTGACGCCTCTAAGATCAATACATTTATTTCAATGGAAGCTTCTGTGACCCACTTCTTTTGACAGAGTTATCTGGCAATACTCCTTCCAGAGTCAATTAAAAAGTTCTGCTCTCATCAACACAGGTGCTGTTCCCACATTTTGGCTTAGCTTTATTCACTGTTATTCATGAAATGACATTTCACTGCCCATGGCACCACTACTTTCTAAGGGCGACTTTGCCACAGAAGAGATGGACTGAACACAATTTTTTGTGCATCTCAAAACATGGCTCACTTTTGTTCTCCATGTCAATGAGTCAGGAAGGAAAGAAGGTAATGGTGTGCCAGGAAAAGCACTTGTTGATGCCATATGTCACAAGAAGTGACAGAAACATGATACTCACCCACCTACTGTTTTGTTGTACACAGCTACAGGCACGGAACAATACAGGGGCACAGCAATTCAATCCCTGCAATAATAGCCATTGTGTGATTGGTGATCAGCAGTTAGTTCTGACAGTTGCTTTGTGGGAGACTGCGAGAAGGGCCTCCTGGGAGATCTTAAAAAGCAGATGGAGCTGGCTGTCATCAGAATACTTGTGGTGCTAGACCACAAAATTCTGGACAGCCTCTTTTGGTTTTTTCATGTATATGTGAAATAGTATGGGGAATCATGGAACCCTGAGACACTCCATAGATGCTGAACAGGAGTCCCCCAGCCTGACAAGCTGACTCCTTTTTCATCAATTAAACAATTCTCACTCAGACACAAAGCTATTGTCAGATTTCAACAAGTGTGAATGGTAGTGAGCAAAAGAGGGTATCCTGTAGACCATTTTGACTGCTGCCATTGGTGCTGTCAACATTCAGACAGCCCTTTGCTATGTAAAGCTTGGCATCCTTTTTCCAGCTCGCAACATGGGAATGATATTTTGCAATACTATTGGCCCGTTTCCTGGCTTTTTGAATCATTGGTACAGAAATGTAATATTCCGCATTCATAAATGGAAAGTTTTTTTAAAGAATTGAATTTCGGGGGGGGGGGTAATGGGAGTTTAAATACTCATATGCTACCCACAAATCCAATCAGAAATTTCCCTAATGTAGAATTACTACATTAGGGACGTGGTGGCGCTGTGGACTAAACCGCAGAAGCCTGTGCTGCAGGGTCAGAAGACCAAGTAGTCGTAAGATCGAATTCACGCGACGGAGTGAGCGCCCTCACTTGTCCCAGCTCCCGCCAACCTAGCGGTGCGAAAGTATGCAAATGCGAGTAGATTAATAGGGACCACCTCGTTGGGAAGGTAGCAGCATTCCGTGTCTAAGTCGCACTGGCCATGTGACCACGGAAGATTGTCTTCGGACAAACGTTGGCTCCATGGCTTGGAAACGGGGATGAGCACCGCCCCCTAGAGTCGAACACGACTGGACAAAAATTGTCAAGGGGAACCTTTACCTTTACCTTATAGAATTACTCAGTGAGAGAGGATTCCAGAAGATGATCAGATGATCTATACTATGGCTAGCGGGAGAAGACAGAAGTGAGAAATGTTTGGATGTGACTATACTCCCTCTGTGGCAAAATATTTTGAAGGGCTGTTTTGGACTTAATGAAATGGTGAGACAAAAATGTGAGTAGTTTTGACACATACAGTAGAGAAATATACACACTAGAGATGGTCATGGACCTCGGTTTGGAGATTCATGTCAATTTGTCAGCATGACACCACAAGTGTTGCATGTTCACTTCCCCCACCCTTGCTAGCTTCCATATTCCCCAGCAGCCACACACTGTTTTTCTCCTACTCTTCATGCAGTCGTCCAGTCACAGCAGGAGCACGGACTTCTTTGTCTCCTCCAGCAGCTGCCCACTCAGATGAGGAGTCAAGATGGGGATTCCTACAGTGCTGCCTTTAAGGGAAGGGAAGGAAAGGGATATCTGTGCTCCTGCTGCGCCTGGATGATCACGTGAGGAGCGAGAGAAAAGCAGTACATGATGGTTGGTGAGTGGGGGAGCTGGTGGGGGAAGTGATCACACACCTGTGGTGCCATGGCGATGAAGCAGCACAAACCTACAAACCTAGGTTCATGCCCATCTCTAATAGGTACACACCTTTAACCTCTTGCTTTAATGTTGTCATGTCCACGCCGCCAAATGCAGACTGGAAAGCTATGTTCCAGTTTCATATCCCTTTCTTTGAGTTAGGCGAGCTGTATTGGACCAAAACCTCTACAGATATTTTGTGTACATGTTTTCCAAAAGATGTCCCTTTGCTTTTTGAAGTGTA